GCATACTTATATAACTTAGAAGTTAGGACCTCCAAAATATCCTGTGGACGTATATATGTTGTTCTAACAGAGGAAATTAATTTTTACTTTTGAAATGTATGCAAAAAGGGGTTGTAGATAAGGCTTACAGAGTTGAGTGGTATTGCTTAATGGGAAGAAAAACAATGAGCATCCTGGTTTCTTCTTTGCCCTTTCTCTCATTTTTTTGTGGCTTTTAAAATTGGTAGAACTAAATTTTTTGAGCACGGACAACTTTTTACACGCCCAATCTTAGACACACTTGAAAAAATTGAGTGTATAAAAAGTTGCATGTGCTGAGAAAGAATTTTGTTTTAAATTTCGGTGGTAAACTATGTATTCTATCTTTAAAATTCAATATATGTACACTATGCACACGATTCTGTTCAAGCTCTTCAACATCACAAACTTTTGGTATGATTTAATACTATATATGTGGACGTATATGAAATTTTTGTATGTAGACGTGATAGCAAAGTCATGTGACAAAATAAATTAGAGACAAAAGAAAGACAGAGAGAAGACAAGAGCCAAGAATCGAAAAAGACCTAATTCATATATACGTGAATGAATGTATTTTTCCACATTCTGATTTAAATAAAAAAGATACAAGGCGATTGAAATCGATTAATCAAAAATAAAACAAAAAGAACAAAGCAAATTTTAAGAAAAAAGAAGGCACACTATCAAAAGTCTGCATGAGATCAAAGCTGAGTTGATTGAAAATGCGATTGCGCATTATGATATTGGACAAACTCTTTACAAACGTATTATTACCTCATACATCTCCAATAATTATCGTAACTCACAGATTACATGTCACAAAAGATTCAAAATGTGAATAGATGATTAGACTCCAATCATGTCAAATGAACCACTCCATTTGAGTAGGCATGAGATTTACACGAGTGTATATACTTACCTGCATTCAGTATTTACACTAAATTAAGCAATTCTACTTTAGTAATTAAAATTAAAATGAGAGTACATATCATTAAACTGTGGTTATATCATAAAGTATATGCATATATAAAATAAACATATCTTGTATTTATTAATAAATTTTTATCCTCAACGAGAATGTTAAGTCCTAAAGGATGACGTGAGTGTAACATTACAGCTGATACTTGCACTAGAATATTAGGGGCCTCACCGTAAAACTTGCCTTAAAAAAATCCTATACCATAGTATGAGGGAAATATTAGGGCTTCCATTTTTAAAAAGTATGGATCACAACCTTCCAACGATGTCGAACCTCACAGATGACAGATCGATAATGATGTAAACACCAAACTTTGGATAGATACCAAGCTTGTCAATCAAGAGGGGAAAAAAATACGATCTCTATTCTGTTGAGGTTTTTGTTATTTAAGATGAAATAGTTTTAAAATGAGGGTGAATGGGAAATAGAGGGAAAAATAAAATTTTTGAGTAAAATTTTAAGTTTTTCCCTCTTGACAATGAGACATTGTCCCATATTGGAAGAGAAAAAGATTTTTGATGGGTATATATATAATTGCTCTTCTTGTAGCTCTTAAAGAGTTAAGAAAAAAGCAAGCCTCGCGCAGTCGTCGTCGTCGCTCGCTCTGCTCGGCTTCGGCTTTGGAAATTCCGCCTAATGCTCTTCCCACCATGGCCAAGTGCTTGCTGGAGGGTTGTTCATCTTCAAAGTTGACTGCTATAAATATGTGCATCAGCTGTTGAAGAAAGACACACCAAACTGAAAACGCTCAACTTTGGCTATACATTGCACTCCTTCCTCTCAGCATTTCCATACGATTTTCTGAGTTTCTACTCCTTTGTTCTGCATTGTTTTAACTTAAAACAAAGTAACTGTAAGTGTGATTTGCTACCAAACTTTGTGTTCGCTGAAACACTGGGATTTGAAGTACCGCTACACCAGTGTGTGATTCGTTCTATCCTGGGAGGAAATAATCCATAACCTTGGGTACTAGGAGGGGATTAAATTCCTTAAGAAAACACTGTGAATTCAGTGGGCTCGAATTAATTACTGTTTCATTACGATAACTTATATTTTCCAGAATTATTATTTACAAATACAGTAATATTGGCGGGACTATCAACTAACAATCTTAAGGAATTTAATATTTATTTCTGTATTTGTGTTATTCTTATTATTCTGCAA